AAAAAAAAAAAAAAAAAAAAAAAAAAAAAAAAACGAAAATCATTAAAAACTAAAGACGACAGCGACAGCGACAATGGTAATGATGCTGACGACAACGACAACGACAACGACGACGACAACGATGACGATGACGACGATGACGACGACGACAACGATGGCTACAAAACAGTAACAATCGACAATGACAAATGTTGAAAGAAAGTAACGAACAACATAGCAGAAAATTTGAAAACTGGTATCTCAAAGAAACCATAATTAAGTTACCCGAATATTTATGTATGTTCCACGTACCTATCCAATACAAACAAATGTGTAAAAATAATAGTTAAGAAAAAAAAAAAAGCCAACCATAAATGCATGAAGTAAAATTCGAGTCGAAGCAAGAAAAAAAAGAAGAAACCGGTGTAACAGCAGTCATAATAGAAGCCGTAAACGCGTAATAATAAAAGTACCAAATCCAGAAAATAATAAAACAAACAATAAAAGATAAAAAAAATAATAAAAAAATAATAAAAAAGGAAAAATAATTCTTTTACGAACAAAAATGATAATAATCTGTAAATTTTTTTGATGTCACCTAATGGTACACTGTACAGTAAATCCTTTGCTTCCTCAACTAATTTCTTCCCCCTTCAAGTATATTCTCCATCCCCTTTCCCTAGTTCCCTCACAACTCATCCTCACCTAATTCTATCCTTACAAAAATATATGTACCCAACTTACAGTACAGGTCACTAAATTTTACATCTAATAAGATAAAATAAAAGCAAAAAACAAAAAAAATTGAAAAAATTATTTAAACGTAATAAAGCAAGCAAGTAAAAATCACTTTCTTTTCATTTTTAAAAAGTAAAGAAAAGAGAAAAGAGAAACAGTTCACCATAAATTATACTGAAATTCCACAAATAATAAAGTGTAAAAATTTGAAATCAGAAGTTATAGATAAATGATAAACAGAATAAGAAAAAAAAAGGTAAAGTAAATAAAAAAAAAAAATTCAAATATAGTTGAACAGATGAAACTGAAGATGTTAATAGGTATCTGCTAGTTGATGGCGATGATTACTGCTGCTGCTGCTGCTGCTGCTGCTGCTGCTGCTCCTGGTAATGATGAAGTTGGTGATGCTGATAATGTATATATGTGCGTGTTGTGAGGGCTGCTGCTGATGCTGGTACTGGTGGTAGTGATGATGATGATGGTGTTGGTACTGATGCTGAATGCTGATGCTGATGCTGATGCTGATGCTGATGCTGATGCTGATGCTGCTGCTGTTGTTGCTGTTGCTGATGGTAGTGGTGGTGGTGATGGTGGTAAAGACAACAAGAATCCAAGATGCAAAACTGAGCTCCTTAAACAACAGCGTCAAACATCAAAGTTAAAATGCCGCCCCAGAAGTTCTTTTTGGCTGTTAATATCTTTGTAGTTTTATAATAAATTCTTTGCAAAAGAAACAGCAATTGTAAAAATAGTATAGAATAGGCGACTAAACAGCAAAATAAAGTGTTAAAAATGTAGAGTGTAAAAGAGAAAGATTGACTAGAAGATAGTTGAACAAAAAGGCGGGACTGTTGATAATGGTTTAGCGCCGCCCACAAAATGTACATTGATGAATACGCCAATCGGAAGGCAGTTTTGAAAAATTAATGAGCCAAATAGACGCCGATTGGTAACATTGGTTTTGGAAAATTTATGATCTGTTTGCTAAAAAGAGATTAGAAATACT